TGCTACACTGATATTCAATTCAATGTTTATTTGACTTAAACAATTTGCAAAAAAAATGAGATGCCTTAACTGGGATTTGAACCTCTCGCTTCCTAAGCGAGCGTACAAACCCCTCGGCCATGGTGAAGTTATATATTGACGGCCTAAAGAAAACCATATCATTCTAAATTAGGGTTTGTAACCCTTATTATTTTTACGCTAACTGTTGTTTGAACTTGTTTAACCCATTACTTCATATACACGCCTTTTAACGCCTTTTTCACCCCCCCCCCCCCCCTTTTTGTTGTCTCAAATGATGAAAAAATGCCTTATTTAGGCCCCAAACACTTGTTTTGGTTTGAGAAATGTTGTTAAAAAAGTGACCTCTTTTTCGGCGCGGCCCCCCAACCAAAAGATACATCAGGGGGTTGCCAGAAGGGGGATGTGCCCCCTTCAGTTTGGGGGGTTTGAAGGGGGGCGGAGTCCCCCTGATCGCCAAGAAAATTTTGGACTTGTGAGAGGCTGTAAATGACCCCAGATTGATCATAAGGTAACGTGTAACCAACGCTGAAAAGCATTTGACTCTATCTCAATCCATTGAGAAGTTGCAGCACTTTGAAATCAATTTTGATGGAAAAAAATCAACGCAAAATAGTGATTTTTGGCAATTTTGAGATGTCCCCTCGTTACCATGGTAACAGAAAATTTAAGCCTGAGCATGTTGTTGCAAGGTCAATGGTTCAGTCAACATTTGTGCCAAGTTTGATTAGTGTTGAAGCAGTTTTTATAGTATTATAGCAATTTGAACTTGTAACGGGAGACTTTTCAATGAAAACAGCCATTTTTCACAAAATGCTCATGAAGTAAGGGGTTAACACAGATGTAAATAATCATGGAGCTTACTATAAGCATGTATATCTATAAAGAATAAAACAATATTAGAAATCTTCAACCACTCAGGAACTTTTTTGCATGAAAATTAATGCGCATGTCATTTGACCATCTTTTCGCAGTGATCTCCCCTGAATTTTTCGGCGTTAGTGTACATATAAAGGGAAGTAACAGCTTCAAAAAAGCGGACTACTTTTGGCATTTGCAATTAACAGCATCAGGGTCTGAAATTTCGCTACCATTATTTAAAACAAATATAAACTACTCATTTGCCCATTTACATAAAATATCTTTTTGAATGTGTTATGTTGGCAATGGGTATAATTATAGTAAATTAGTTTTTACTACTTTGTTTACATTTTGCTACCTTAACAACACACTACTGCAGGTTCAGCATGACTACTTCAGTTGTTAAAACTTCTAACATGCTCTTACTCCATTATTTTATAACATTATTTAAAGGGACTCCACTGAGGTTTAAAAGCCTAAAAACATAACATTTGAATTTCTTACGTAAATGAGCTGGGGCACTTGAAACAGAAATATATGCAAAGATAGTTAAGAAATATACTTTGAAATAAATTGAAAATCGTATTTTTATGCTTTCCTTAGCCCAATTTGAGTGAAAAGCGTTTAAACGCATTTCATTTTGGGTCATTTTTTTACAATTTGAATAATTATTCTGGACAAAAGAAGTGCGCGAATGATCTGAAATTTTGTTCAAAGATTAGTGGTCTAAACCTACAGCAAATGTTTCATCATGTCAAAAATCCTCAGTAGAGTCCCTTTAACATGTGTTTGACATTTCTAAATAATCTAAAACAAATAATGTGCTTTTAATACATTGTATATTTAGTAAGATTACTATTAAGTTATGTTTGTTTCGTTAGTTGGTACTTAATCATGTTACATTTTAATCATGTTATATTTTAATCATGTTATATTTTACTATTTTCAGATGTTGATAAAGGACGTTACCATGGTGATGATACATCGGGAACATATCAACATTTGTGTAAATTATGCAACAAGACGTTTCCTAGTAACTCACATCTGAAGACACATATGAGAGTTCATACTGGAGAAAAACCTTTTGAGTGTACCAAATGTGGGAAATGTTTCAAGCAGAAGGGTCATCTTAATTCACATTCTATAACTCATTTTGAGAAAGAGTTTGGGCTGTAAAATATAACTGTGAAGAAAACTGAGAAATAAGTCCGTGTGTATATATAAATATGTAAACAATTTACACTGTTAGCTCATTTTGCAAATTTTCATTAAGAAAAGGACAGGTGGTGTTTGTAAACAATTTATTAAAATTATGTTTACTTTATGTGTATGAACATTTTCATGGTATGTATGGCATAATAGCCAAAGACTTTGGCAAGATATGATGTGACTAAAAATTTTGAAAATTTGAAACAAAAACATTTCTGTACCTTAAAGTACCATAACACATGTATTATAAGTGTAACACATGTATTATAAGTGTAACACTTGTATTATAAATGTAACACATGTATTATTAATGTAACATGTGTATTATAAGTGTAACACATGTATTATAAGTGTAACACATGTATTATAAATGTAACACATGTATTATAAATGTAACACATGTATTATAAATGTAACACATGTATTATAAATGTAACACATGTATTATAAATTTAACACGTGTATTATAAGTGAAACACATGTATTATAAGTGTAACACATGTATTATAAGTGTAACACATGTATTATCAATGTAACACATGTATTATCAATGTAACACATGTATTGTAAATGTAACACGTGCATTATAAATGTATTATAAGTGTAACACATTTATTATAAGTGAAACACATGTATTATAAGTGTAACACATGTATTATAAGTGTAACACATGTATTATAAATGTAACACATGTATTATAAGTGAAACACATGTATTGTAAATGTAACACATGTATTATAAATGTATTATAAGTGTAACACATTTATTATAAGTGAAACACATGTATTATAAGTGCAACACATGTATTATAAGTGTAACACATGTATTATAAATGTAACACATGTATTATAAGTGTAACACATTTATTATAAGTGTAACACATGTATTATAAGTGTAACACATGTATTATAAATGTAACACATGTATTATAAATGTAACACATGTATTATAAATGTAACACATGTATTATAAATGTAACACATGTATTATAAATGTAACACATGTATTATAAATGTAACACATTTATTATAAGTGTAACACATGTATTATAAGTGTAACACATGTATTATAAGTGTAACACATGTATTATAAATGTAACACATGTATTATAAGTGTAACACATGTATTATAAGTGTAACACATGTATTATAAATGTAACACATGTATTATAAATGTAACACATGTATTATAAATGTAACACATGTATTATAAGTGTAACACATGTATTATAAATGTAACACATGTATTATAAATGTAACACATGTATTATAAATGTAACACATGTATTATAAATGTAACACATGTATTATAAATGTAACACATGTATTATAAGTGTAACACATTTATTATAAATGTAACACATGTATTATCAATGTAACACATGTATTATAAATGTAACACATGTATTATAAATGTAACACATGTATTATAAATGTAACACATGTATTATAAATGTAACACATGTATTATAAGTGTAACACATGTATTATAAATGTAACACATGTATTATAAATGTAACACATGTATTATAAGTGTAACACATGTATTATAAATGTAACACATGTATTATAAATGTAACACATGTATTATAAGTGTAACACATGTATTATAAATGTAACCGTGTATTATAAGTGAAACACATATATTATAGATGTGTCAAACATTATTTTAGGTGATTGTTTATTATACATGTACATTAATTTATCTTGAATATGTTATTCTGTTGATATTGTATGTATTGTTGGTAAATTTTATTTTATGAATTTTTGCACTATTGTTTGATATATAATTGTATAATGATGTAATGTAGGTAATAAAGAAATGTATATCTCATAGACTTTTGGTCTGTTATTCTAAATTTTGTTTTATTGTTTACTCACATTATACAAATATGGACTTTTTAGCTGGAGAATATGATGTGATATGTACTGAAAAATTAATATCGCCTCGGTCAATATTAATTTTTCAGTACATATCATATCATATTCACCAGCTTAAAAGTCCATATCTGTTTTATTATATAATTTATAAATGGCTTTTAATACGGCTTATTAAATCTGCCATTAACTACGGCGGAAATTGACATTTTTCAGCTTGCCAACCCTTTCCATCTTTTAAATGAGCGCATAAGCACAATTATTCTTAGTGTTCTTAAAAATGAAAAGAAACTAAAATAAACTAATTTGACTCTTATTTTAGAGTCATCCAACGTTTTTTTTTTAGAATAATATATAACAACAAACTTGATGTGACGTCATGTCATAGTCTCGCGTCTTTCCGGGGATTTCCAGAAAATCTATTTTTAGAAGAAAAAACAGTGAATATACTCTGAAAATCTATTTTTAGGAGAAAAACAGTGAATATACTCTCATATTGACATGTTATTTTTTACAAAAAGTTGCGTGCTAGCCAATAGGGAAAGGCATTTCAAAGCTATTTTTTAGATTATATAATAAAGAGCAATGTACTATAGCTTGTACACAAAGTTTTATATTTGTAGCTGATTTGATTACAATAAACCTCATGGAATTAATTTCTCAACTCAAATTAGTTCAATACAGTATATATTTATCAATTTTATAACAATAAACTCTTTAATAATGATGAAAAGGATGCATTGTAATGAACTTTGATTTTTTTGAAGATTTTTTAATTGTTTAGTTTGAACTTGATACATATTATTTTTATCATATTGTTTATTTCCAGGTGTTCCGAAAGGACGTTACCAAGGAGATGATGAAATGTCAGGACCATACCAACGTTTGTGTAAACTCTGCAAACAAGACTTTCTCCTGTAACTCCCATCTAAAGACACATATGAGAGTTAATACTGGAGAAAAGCCATTCAAGTGCTCAAAATGTGGAAAATGTTTCAAACAGAAGGGACATCTTAATTCACATCTCATAACACATTTTGAAAAAGAGTTTGGGTCTGTCAACTGAAACAGTGTGAAATAGCAGACCAATGTATATATACTAGGGTTGAAACAAGTATGTTGATTGGTTAGAAACTTGATATAAGATGTCTCTGTAAAGTAATTTAAGGCCAGAGAAATGACTCACAGACAGCCTTTATATATTATAGATACATTTATTGTGTATTATATTATGTGTGTGTGTGTGTTAAGTTGTGTGGTGGCAGATTTTGTAACAAGCGGAAGTGAAGAATACTTATGCTTTGCTTTAGTGACTAATCTACTTAATAAATAAAATATTTTACTGCAATTTCTATTGGTATGTTGGTCAATTATTTTAATTGGGAACAATATTATATAGAGGATATTTGTTTGTTTTGCATGTAAAATTGAAAAATATTTCACTGAGTGAACACCAGATGCAATATTTTCACGAGTGGCGTAGCCTCAAGTGAAAATAGAATAGCTTGTGTTCACGAATGAAATATATTTCAGTCTTATATGTAAAACAAGAAAATTTTCTTTTTATTTCATGCTTTATAAGTGATTTTAAACATTTTTTTTAAGATTCTGCCGCGTAACGTTGCGCATTCTCCTTTATGACATCATCACATCATGACGTCACATCATCAATTTTGAAATATAGTTCTGTTAAATTTGTCTAATTTTATCACATTTTTAACATGATGTATGATGACATAGACTTTCTTTTCATAAAGAAGCAAAATTTACTTTGACAGCATTTATTATTGCCTGTTATTCCATTTAGTTATTCCATTTAGTTATGATGTCTTTTTTATCTGCATTCAGGTATAGTCCGGCTACAGTGAAAATTATATTTTATAAGTTTCACTAGTGGTTTATCAGAAAAGAATCATCTGATATATTACAGTAAAACACTGGAAAGCATGAAATAAGATTATATGTAGCATAATTATTGTGTATCAAAATTTCTTTTGATTATGCATTATTTAATTATTTTTAGATTCTTTAAAGTTTTGAAATACATTTCAAAGTTTTGAAAAACATTTCAGACTAATATGTTTATTTAACTTAATTTCACATTATTTTTATTACTTTGTTTTGCTATAATCAACAATTTCTATTTACAACATATTCTGAGTTATACAATACTGGTAGTAGAATAAGTTTAAGCAGGGTACCAACGTTTTATAAATAGCCCAATTCTGATGTAGCATTACATACATGTAGTTGTGTATTTCTATTAAACATGAGTGACTTGTGACCATATTCAGGTCTAATGTGCCCACATTTCAGTAGAAAATTGCATCATTTTGTTGCAACAAATCTCTGTTTAGCGATGTAAGGTCAACATGGTCTTCTTGCTTTTGTTTCTTGTTTTTGATATGACATATCTTGTTTATTCATTTGATTTCTGACATCATCATTCTTTCATATGTCCATGATATAAACTCAATATTTCAGTGACCATAAAATTATCATGCATAAAAAGACATTACATAAAAGTTGATTTGTTGTGTGTACAAATGATACAGTGTACTGTCAGATATAAAATCAAATTTGTTTTGTAACTAAATGTGTTTTAAGAAATATTGATTATTGAAATTCAACTAATATATTTTGTTCAATATTTTCAGATATACCTCCTGATATACCAGGACCATATCAACATATTTGCAAACTCTGCAAGAAGTCATTTCTCAGCAATTGGCATTTAAAGACACATATGAGAGTACATACTGGTGAAAAACCATTTGAATGTGCCAAATGTGGAAAATGTTTCAAACAGAAAGGGCATCTTAACAGGCATATGGTTTCACATTATGAAAAAGAAATTGGATTTTGAAATATTGAACATCACATCGCGTTGGAGGGAACTACGCTGTTGTATATGTGCTAGTATATACTTTTACATAAATCTAAAAAACAGAACTATTTGAGCCGCGCCATGACAAAACCAATGTAGTGCGTTTGCGACCAGCATGGATCAAGACCAGCCTGCGCAGACTGATCAGGATCCATGCTGTTTGCTATTAGTTTCTCTACTTGTTATAGGGTTTGTAAGCCAATTCTGTTTACATCACACAACTTTGTCCACTGTTACATCATTATCAAGTCAAAATATACCATAGTCTATTGTATGAGTGGCGGATTTTGTATGTATACAGGTAGAGTTGCGGATATGGTATGGTTAAACTCTCCCTATATGTACAACATGGTGATGTGGCTATATTGTGAAATGATTTATCTCATATATGACAGATAGCAGCAATCTGTTGAAAATGTATTTTGTTGATGTCTGTGAATATTTTTATTTAAATAAGCTGAAATATTTTTTTTTGACCTTTATGAAAATTAATTTAAAAGAACTATTGATCCTTTTTGTAAAGTTGATTGTTTTATTACCATATGTAAGAGTGTTTTACTATGAATACAGAAAACTTATAATGTTCTTTAATTTTTTCTTTGAGACCTGATTATAAAGTATTGTGTATGAAATAATATATATAAAAGAAGGTCTTGTGTTTAATTGATCCCTCTAGTTATTGATAGTTTACTTATTTATTTAGTCTCAAACTGAAAACTTTAAATGCTGAAACAGTTTTCTTTTAAGTTGTTTATACCTGTAATTTGCCTTCTAATAATTGTATGGAATCTGGTTAAGGTATTGGATATTGTTAATTATTTTCTACCCCATCTCTGTTTTATGTTATAACACAAAATAAATAAACATAATTGCGAGTATTTAGCATGAACGTTTAATCGTTAAGACAATAAAAAATATATACAGTTTAGTTCTTTTTTTGTATATTATATATTTACGGTATATATATATATACACAGTGCCTATTATTATACATTTGTATATTGTCTTGTATGGGCCATTGGGGATAACCAAAATTCGATAATATAATGACATGTGTCGATAATATAATGACAAATGATAATATAATGACATGTGTTGCAATACAAATGTTTTATTTTATTTTTTTTTCAGATTCTCAAATGATGCATAGTCCTAAATCTAGGGAAAGGTCTTGGAGTACTAAATCTAGGGATAGACGTTCTGTTAGTATGCCAGGTGTTACAGATGATAGCAGGGAATGGAGTGGCTTTGTTTGTACTGTGTGTAACAAGAAGCTAACTACAAGCTGGGGATTGTCCTTACATATGAGAACACATACTGGAGAAAAACCATTTGCCTGTAACGTGTGTAACAAAAGATTTGCAGCGAAAAGTAACCTTAAAGCACATTTGGTCACACACGTGAACATTTTAGACCTTTGAACATATACTATCTTAAGTTTTTAAAATAAACATAAACGGTGTACATATTTTCTGAAATTATGACTGAAAAGATAAATATTTTAGAAAATTAATTATGAGGTTTTTTTTGGTAACGTGTATAATGGTATTTTCCTAAAATTTTGAAAATGTACTTAAAAGTAAAATGTTATGAAGATAACAAGGAAAGAAACACATTGCAAACGACACATACAATCCACATAAATTACCGGAAAAAAAGGTCAAATTATACAAAATAAGCCCTTTTTTTTTTCTTACTTGGCGTTAGTAACGCAGTGAAAAATGGTAAAAAAATTTTTACAAAATAAATTATTTAAAACACAAAAACATGGGGACATTAAATTGGGTTGGGAAAAATTAAAAAATTTTAATTTTTTTAAAAAATTTTAGAAACTTTTCCCAAGTTTATTTTTTTTTAAATATTTTTTGGGTAATCGGGGGGCAAAGGGAGCTTTAATCCCATCGTAAATTTATCTAATCTTTTTTAAAAACAGATGATTTTTTGGATTCCCTCAAAATGTGGGGAGCGTGTTTTTGTTTGGGAAAATTTCAGTTTTAAAATTTATTTGTCTAACAAAAAGTTTTTAAAATCTGTACGGTAGATTTTCAAAAAAATTTAAAAGGAAATTTTCAAAGTATAAAGTGTGTAAGGGCTGTACGGAATTTTAAATGGTCATCGATGGAAATTTATCATTAATCAAAATTTTTATTCGTATGTGCGTCTTCATGCACATCTGTCAAAGGTGTAATATGACCTTAAATGAACGGTGCTTTTGTTTCTTCAACAAACAAGAATTTTTAAAATTGTAATAAATGCCATTTCATTATATTAGCACAATGTGACTGATGTTTTATGTAGATGTAATAATGCTTTATTTGTACTTTTCATTTTTCATTAAAATATTTTTAAAAAGTGATGCTGTTATGTTTTATTTTACACTATTTCATAATTGCAAGTCCTTTTTTATGAACGACAATTTCCATTAAATAAGCAAATATCGATGTGAAGTTTACAACTAAAATTTCATAGGATATATTTCTTTAATTGTTACTATAATGTATTTAAGATTTTGTTACAATGCAAGAATTTTAAGAGTTGAGGCACCAGAATTGCAGCCACCGTTTATCCCTGCATTATCACAAGAGGAAACTAAATGGGTTCGAATTACTGGAGTCTATGCATCTTTTAGCTCCATCAGGTGGTATTCATCCCTGATGTTACTTTAAATTTATAATACCCGAGGTTAGCTGTAATCATCTTGCCTGTTTCGGCGCTATATGACCTAAACAATCAAAGTGCTGCAGCACTGAATGCGACGGACATGCAACCGGAGAGACATTAATTAAGGCTTCTTTTAGAAAAAAAAAACAAAACAAAACACAAAATATATAACAGAGAAAATTTGTTCCATACAAGTTCGAGATTTTTAAAGCAATATATTTTGTGTCCAAAATTGATATAATTCAGATTTTCTACTTTCAAGCACTTAAATACAGAATGAAATTTATGCCTAAAAACTCTGGTCAAACTTGTAAATCAGTGTCCTTATCGATTTATTCTAAGAAATGATATGTAAATAGAAAAAAAACTATCAACGAAATATTTCTAGAATAAATCCAGGCAAATAAACTTCAAACATAAAACATTATACATTTGAGAATGCTATTTAGAATTGCTTCGTGTTATATCATAGTGGGCATAAGTCATTTGTATTTTTATTTCTCTTGGATATGTCTCATTAAAAAAATGGTTAAAATCATCAGCAATTTATAGTGTATTTCTTAGATTTTTTTTTATTTACAAGGTAAAGATGTTGAGGCCAGAGCACATCGTTTTTATTTTAATTTAAATGTCACTTAAGCACTACAGTGTTTAGTTGTCCTTTTCAACTTCACACTAAATTCCATTTTCAACTTGTTTGCTTCTTACAATTGTATAGCATTTCTAAAAGTATTGCATTACAATCCGCTGGTTTATTAATTACATGTTTAATGTGTACTTCCCAATCGCCTGTCCAAAAATCAGAACAGGTGAAGCAGAATCTATTTTTAGAATAGCGAAGGTTAACTCATATCATGACCTAGTAAAATAAACAAACCACAAGAATCGGAAGTAGAACTGATATTATAACTTCCTTACCATGAAGGACTACATGGCGGTAAAGTGTCTTACATGCATTTTCAAAAATAGATATTTATACTAGCCATTGTACTGTATCTAATATATTAATAAGTGCTGAATATTCAGCTAAACCCGCGGTATGAGTCACGAAAATAGTTCTTCTTTTATTAATGCGCGAGTAATCCTAGAGTCACGAAAAACTTTTGATGTGTTAATAATAATGTTTTGTATAATGTAGAAATATTTATTTCCTACTAATAATGTCTTGGAACTCAGAGGTTACACCTTTATTGAAGTATAATTTGCTGTCCTACTTTTTCGACAGCGGTAAATCGTTTCAGCAGTAATTTGCATATTGCGCAATAATACTACGGGACTACAACGTTTTTATCAATAATATACGTTCATATTTTAACTTGGATAACTTGATTTGAAATTGAAAAGGCTAAATATGGAAGACATTAAGATATCCAGACAAAGTATGGGAGTTTTGAAGGATCAAATTCATGTACTATTTCTTGGGCTGTTAATTGGTTTAGGACACATTGCGCGAGTGTAGCCAACGAAATCCCATGTGTAGATGACTTAGCTCTGAACGCGCCTGAGGGCGCGTCCGTCGCAAAAATTTAACATTCAAGTTGGACAAATCACATTCCATGCATTCTAAGCGATAATTGTAAGATAGAGAGATCAGGAGGGTAAATTGGTTTGGTCTGAAAGTTTGATCATAATACCGATGTCCATTTTCTTACAGCCTCAAAACTGCATTATTATTAGCTCTTTCCCCAGACCTTTTTTAAGGTCGCGGGTTCAAAGGTCCAGATCACCCCGGGAAAGTCCCCCATGGCTTGGTGTATATTTGAACGGAAGTAAATATTTGTTCCAAATAACCGTATATGATAGTAAAAAGGTTTCGGCGTAAGGCTTTGTCTGAAATTATCTGAAAATAACTGCTGAATATTCAGCTAAACCCGCGGTATGAGTCACGAAAATAGTTCTTCTTTTATTAATGCGCGAGTTATCCTAGAGTCACGAAAAACTTTTGATTTGTTAATAATAATGTTTTGTATAATGTAGAAATATTTATTTCCTACTAATAATGTCTTGGAACTCAGAGGTTACACCTTTATTGAAGTATAATTTGCTGTCCTACTTTTTCGACAGCGGTAAATCGTTTCAGCAGTAATTTGCATATTGCGCAATAATACTACGGGACTACAACGTTTATATCAATAATATACGTTCATATTTTAACTTGGATAACTTGATTTGAAATTGAAAAGGCTAAATATGGAAGACATTAAGATATCCAGACAAAGTATGGGAGTTTTGAAGGATCAAATTCATGTACTATTTCTTGGGCTGTTAATTGGTTTAGGACACATTGCGCGAGTGTAGCCAACGAAATCCCATGTGTAGATGACTTAGCTCTGAACGCGCCTGAGGGCGCGTCCGTCGCAAAAATTTAACATTTAAGTTGGACAAATCACATTCCATGCATTCTAAGCGATAATTGTAAGATAGAGAGATCAGGAGGGTAAATTGGTTTGATCTGTCTGAAAGTTTGATCATAATACCGATGTCCATTTTCTTACAGCCTCAAATGTGCATCATCATTAGCTCTTTCCCCAGACCTTTTTTAAGGTCGCGGGTTCAAAGGTCCAGATCACCCCGGGAAAGTCCCCCATGGCTTGGTGTATATTTGAACGGAAGTAAATATTTGTTCCAAATAACCGTATATGATAGTAAAAAGGTTTCGGCGTAAGGCTTTGTCTGAAATTATCCCAAAATAGGTATATATGGTCTTCCTCCCAAAAAAGTAGATCTTTAAGACATTTAATTTAATTTACTTTAGCATTGTTAAAATTTCCATGGCATTATGGAAACGTAAAAAGGGCTCCATTTAGTGCGATCATGGGTTGTAAGACGCCCGATTTTTGTTCGATTTGATTAGATGTTTTGACAAATCTATTCATATTATTCACAAAGACTAGACCATCTTTTGTCACTCTAAAGTCAGTTAGAAGTTTTTAGTTAAGACCAATTTTTGTCAGAAAGACAAATATTTTACAAAAGACGAAAAGATACCTTTTCGCCCTGACAAAAACTTCGGCGGAATAATCGGATTCTTTTGTAATTCCTGTGAAAAAAATAAATTGTTTTGTTTTAAAACGTCTAATAAAATAGAATTAAATCAAGTCGACTTACACATCATGATCTCACTTATAGGAGGCCCTTTAACGTTTCCGTAAGACATATATCATTTACAGATAAATGTGCTATTTTTACAGCTATCATACTTATAAATGGGCTTCTGTTTCCTCTTTTAAGTAAAATCATGCATGAAATTTGACCTTGTTGTCTTACCATATTGATATATTGCTTTATAGATGTGCGAAAGGCTTATTTCGCAATTTGTCGACATATTTTCATGAATTATATTATTTTGGTCGGTTTCTTGACGTTTTTCACTTCTTGAATGAGCTTCATCTTTCTTTCTGTATGATTAAAACTTTTATCTTATTGCTGGTGTTATTGATCAAGTTTTGATATACAAATGTATATTGTTTGATTTTGTCCAGGGATTGATAGTAGTTGCGCAAAGTTTATGTTATAGTATCTAGGCATGTGTGTTATAATATGTGCGGGAATACTGTTTTCTTCATTCCAACTGATTACTTGGAGCAACGATTTTGAGAAATTCATACAGGAGTAGCGCTCATTAGTTGGTACCCTACTGTTGTTCACAAATTCGTGAGTATTAAAGTTTTGCAGTAAAGATTCAGACATATGTCAGCAATACTATGTCTTAAATGGTTAGTGTTTTGAAAAAGACTGAACACTAGATTCCGTTTAATATTTGAAATCATATTCTTGGCACGGTGTGAGAAGTTGTTCTATCAGTTATGAATTTGTTCAGTGGTGAGTTTGCTATTCTAGAGCGTCCGTAAGATATTTTCATTATATTGGTACGTAACTGAACCTAATACTGCTTTTTACCAATTCTATATATATTATAACCGTTTCCATTGGGGCATTTTAACAACTCTTGTGTTAATTGAATGGAAAAAGAATATCTTCGATTAATTTTTCGACCTTAATTAGACCAAAAAGTAGAGCAAAGACTAAGGCGATATTGAATTAAACTTAACGAATGTTTGTCTTAGTCCGTGACATTTCTGACACGAGAGGAAGTTATTCCAGTCATCACTACGTGTAGAAATATGTGGATATACAGGGAGGTATCTGCTGGCAAATTGAAAGATCAAACTACTATCGATAGAAATCTTTGTAAGTATTTTGTATTTTGTGCAGATGTATGTTGTATTGTTTGTCTCTTCTATTTGAATGTACATTTGTATATGTATTGATTATCGCCTAAATAGTGAAATATTGTTTCTGTTTCTGTTTTATTAGTGTTGCTAATTTTTATATTTAAAGAATGATTATTGAAATTTTTCTGAAGTGGTACAGAAATCTTTGCATTTCGTGTGACGTGAAGTTTGTTTTAATTTTTGATGTACTCTAGTGTTACTAGTTATTAGATTTGAACGAGAGGCATTTTCTGTAAATAATGTGTACATTATACTAATATAAATTAAATGATAGAAATAGTAATATCTTGTAGTTATCTTTCATTTTATTTATCGTGTAGTCATTATGATAATATTATTATTTGAGCAAGATATAAACCTTTGGTCTCGAGTTCATTACTCATTCTTTTGTGATCTTTACGCTGCGCATATAAATTAGCTTAACAAATGAGAATTGCAGATTTAATTGTTTCTTATGTTTTCTAATGTAGAATGCAATTGTTACAAGTACAGGATAAATTGATGAAGATAAGAATTGAATGTGAACAGCTTTCTTGAAATCATTATTATTTTCAATCAGCCTTAATGCCTAGGAAATGTATGTTGGGTAAATTAAATTAAACAGTCAATTTCAGTTACTTTAGACCTTCGTGCTATGAATGTGCGGGTTAAATGGATGTTGCCGTTTGAATTTGGAACCAGTTCCATTGATATTTCTGAATGGTTGTTCAAGTATTCAGTTGTAATGTACAGCATGCGCTTATTAGACAACAATATGTGACCTGTGTAGTAGTACATGGTACTGACATATACTTGACCTGTCTATACTGCAGTAAGAAGATTCGGCGGTTCCATAGAGTTTGGGGTGTATAACAGATGTTGGGTCAATGCTTTATGATAATTTGGCAATATATTATCTGGGACGTTTTTACTTTTGTCTTTCTTCATATATAGGCATGTTCAGAATAGTAGATACGTTAGTTTAATAAAGGACGTGTAGTTTTTATTATTTTGTATTTTTGGTATCATATATATCGTTTTTTCTTCTTGTTTTCAGTTCATACAAAGAGATGATTGAATGGTGTATTAGATACAGATTATTCTGCCCAGCAAATTAACCTGAAGTTTCGTAATATTTGTGGTTAAGGTGTTTGCTCCAATGGAAACTGGACTCCAGCATACATATTAAGGTTTGATTCATACCGGGTGAGCGTTTCCGTTCGTCTGGTCGGGCTGCTCTTGAAAATTGTATTTTAGGAGAGATAAGGGGCCGCTGAAGAAAAATTTCGATTGAGCCATATTCATAGATATGAATGGAAGTGTTCCGTCTATCAGTGGGTGGATTATATGATTGTTATGTTCGTTTTAATTGATGATGTAGTTTATTTTAGTTTGAAATCAACCGTTTATATTATTCACAAGCGTGCTATCTTACGTATTAGTTGTTACATTCTTAACAATAAATAGGAGGTAAGACATGTTGAGAATTTAATGCTATTATTGTTATGTACGATGCAGAGATTTTTCATCAGTGAGTAAATATTTCTTATCTTTTGGATTTACAAGAAAAATTCATTTGTACATTTGTTGTTCTACGTACTGCAGATTGGATTGCTTTATAATTATGTATGTATAGCGGGTTAAAATGATAGTTGGATTCTGGCAATAATCAACCATTAAATGTTAGATATTATATTTCTATAGTATGTAGTCATGATTGTTTGATTCTTTGTAATCGTGTATTTAGATAGTGTTGTTAGTTATAATTGTAACATATATTTTGAAGCTAAATTCGTGGTTGTAGGAATTTTTGTTTTATTATTTTTGAAATTTGTTATTTAAATAATTAATGATGAATGTGTTTATATTTTGTAGATGTAAAATACATAATTGATTTAGTGTTTCATGGCTGTTATATACTACTGCAAGAAAATTATAGCATAGAAATTTAAAACTGAATTCTATTGACTTTGTGTTTTTAATGCCAGAACTAGTACCATGATGGTTATACTGGTCTATGAAAAAAAGGTTAAGATATAAACATATTGTTAATTAAGTATTTATGGTATATTGGTTTAAGAATAACTGGTTGGTTTCTTAAATCAATATATCTCTTCTTGTTGTAATACATTATAAATCTCTTTTCATACTGTATTCTATGTTTTACATATTTTTTAATTCTTCTATCATATTAATAATAGAAATTTTGATCTGTTATATAGTTCTATATGTTATGATATAATGAGGAATTGAAAATAAAGATTATATCTTTACCAAATTGCTTATTAACTTATTTATTTGCTTGAATCGGATAAATAGGTCATTGCCAACAGTAAATTCGCCTCGATCCAGCCTGCTGCATGCAATAATAGTTTGACCAAGCTTTGATATTCGTTTAATATATTATTATATTTTCTGTATGTAGCTTTCTCTTTCCAAACGAGTAAGACTTGTACCTTTTGCCTTTCAAAATGATTGCCTCCTTTTAAATTGCGTTATGTTTTTTTTAACATTGTAATGCTTTTCCTACAAGAATGAATGAAAAGTGGTTATGTTTCATTCTTTATGTAAATTGATCCAAAATAATTCGTTTTTTTTATATGCAGTTGTTAATATGATCTTTGATTCAACGGTTGAGATTATATTTGTGCTAACGAATCCGCCATTGTTACTGCAATCATCAACCGGTGTTTTGACGCTGTCGTCAAATGTAAGAAGAAGGCATGTCAATTTTGTTTTTAACTTTTTTGGCATAGTTGTATGATAGATATATTTTAGTATACATTTATTTTATTTTATTAACTTATATATAGTTTAATTACTATTCCATATACATTTTCTTGTATTTTAAAATTTTTGTTTACAATATTTTTCAGATTCTATTGTTGCACAGAACATTTATTTTGGAATTTTAGAACATGATGATACCGAAGAGATAATGGAAGTTTTGTTCCTTATTTTGTGGAAGACCGTGTTTCGCACCAACTGTGAAGCTGGACACATTTACGAATACATACAGGGGAGAGCCGTATCAATTTTGTCAATAGTTTGTGTATAAAGATTGTTTTAATGGTGAAATGGAACGCCAAGAGACATGTTCTAACTCACCATGAAATTAGAATAATGTCCCTTAATTAAACGACCATTCTACTCACCAGACAGATAATGAATCTTTATTATAGAACAATGATTAATAAATTGTTATATCAATTTTGTGGTAGCGTCAGATCATTTTAAATTTATTTACATTTTACTTGACGCTATTTCTGCTGTTTATATTCTTTAATTCTTTTAATGTATAAACCGCCTTTTTCTTTTTAGACCTGATAACAATAAATTGTAAATGCCCCCCCTCTCGCCGCTTAAATTAGGTATATTAATAAGCTTTCATTCGTCCGTCCGCTTGCTAGCTCAGCCCGCATAGCTTATTTATCGGTTAGAGCACAGATCGTAATCCTCGACATGTGGGTTCGATTCCCGGGCTGGCCATTGTCTAAAATTACTGTAATTCAGTTTTCTTTGGGATGAGACTATTAATTCGAGGTTCCGTGTATTGATGTGCTGTATATTACATTTTTTGGCACTTTTTTGGTTTTTTTTTTTTTTTTTTTTTTTTTTTTTTTTTTTTTTTTTTTTTTTTTTTTTTTTGGTTTTTTTTTTTTTTTTTTTGGTTTTTTTTTTTTTTTTTTTTGTTTTTGGGTTATAATAACAGTTTAATCAAGTTGGCTATTATATTGGGTACATTTTTTCTGCTATCTGTATCTGGTGCACTAACCCTGTGTCTTCTTTCAGGAAATATTGTTTTATAATTCTGGGGAGGACCGCCCAGATGACATACTGGTGGGAGTGTAAAGTTATACTTTGTTTTGAAATAAAAGATCTACACTTTTTTTTTTTTGTATCTTTCACGGTTCTTGTCTGATCATCAAGATGACAACAGTGTATGTTGTGAATTTGTCCTATGTGGTATGTTTGAACACATTTCTTAGTAATTGCACAAATCATCGGATTATTTTGCGATTTATTCAATCATAATATAAGTTTAATGATGATTAGCAGTCTGTTGTGCTTTTAGTGGGGCGTTGACCTAGGAGGTCTTACCATTTATCAATATCTTACGATGGCTGCAATCAAGACCGAGCCTGCAAACGTTAGTTTAAATTTTTGCCCGTTGAGTTGAAGCGTTCTTTACATGCTTTTATGGTTGGATTCTTATTTTGTCTGTAGTTTACAACAAATATAATGAACATTTCTTATGCTGTAGATGTATCAAGGTCTTGGCGGAGATATATATTTCAGATTCTTAAATTGAGAAAGCATCAATATTCTTTTTACATTTTTTAAAGTTTACTGATTATTTTTGCGATGTCATCGAATGCTTTGTTGATTTTTTTGATTGATTTGATTCTAACAGGCTTTGATTGATTGAAGGTGACACCTTTGAACGTATTTTAGTGTAAGACTTTGATTGCTGTTAGCTACGATTCTTGATATTGGATTGTTTGTTTCGTGATATTTGTTTCTGGTTGTATTGTAAATATATATTTTTTCCGTTTGTAAAAGTATGTTATAGTCAATAAAATTCTTAAAATGTTGTATTACATTTTGTTAGTTTAGATTGAGGGAAGTTTGAACTAAAATTAAAAAAAAATCAATTTGAAATAGTGTAAGCCAATATGAGTGAGAAAGATTATTTAGTAGTGCGTGGGGGTGCGCTATTTTTGAACGAGTATATAGGTGTATGAAGGTTACAACTTATTAATGCACCATTACATGGATTGTATAAGATATATATTTGTACAGTGGACTTCCAGCTATAGTCATTTGCACGGGTACATATTGTTTTTTAAACGCAATATAGATCGAGAGGATTTTCAGGATATAGAATTGGATTATGGTTGTACACCTGCTGTAACGACGTTAGCAGTGTGCAAATATTGTGGGAAGAGTTCTCAAAGACTGTTAGAATTTAAACAG